TGTCCCCGGGCCGCGCTGGGCGCTGCTCCTGGATGCTGCCCCCTTCTGCAGCCCGGCAGGCCCCTCTCAGTCCAGGGGAGCCCTCCACCCCAAGACCCCCCCCCCAGGCTCTGCCGGGGCCTGGCCCTGCCCTGTGGAGCGTGGCACTGCCCACGTCCTGCACCAGGCCATGGCAGGGACACTGCCGCTTGGTCCCAGAGGGGCCCTGGCCCCATCTTGCCCTGGGGCAGATCTATAGCCCCCTTCTGCAGCCCGGCAGGCCCCTCTCAGTCCAGGGGAGCCCTCCACCCCAAGACCCCCCCCCCAGGCTCTGCCGGGGCCTGGCCCTGCCCTGTGGAGCGTGGCACTGCCCACGTCCTGCACCAGGCCATGGCAGGGACACTGCCGCTTGGTCCCAGAGGGGCCCTGGCCCCATCTTGCCCTGGGGCAGATCTATAGCTGGGGGCTGTAGACAAACAGCCCCCCACCCCTGCATTCAGCCCCACTGGGATGTCTCCCTTCTTCCTTGAGCCCCCCGGGGCGAGGGGTCCCTGTGAGCAGGGGCATGGGAGGGCCTGGAGCTGGTGCCCAGCAGCCTGCACCAGTGCCCAGGGCTTCCCCATGCAGAGCTGCACGCAGGGAAGTGGGGCAGGGATGGGACCAGAGGGTGGGGTTGAGTCTGCTTTACACCCCTGCTCCCCACTTCCATCTCGCTGCCTCCCCCAGGACAGCCCCGCTGCTCAGTGCCCCAGGCCCGGGGCCCAGCTCTGAGCCCCTTCAGGCCTCGCGTGTTCGGGGGCAGGGACAAAGTGCTGCTCTCAGTCCCGCTCCTGGGCTCCTGCCCATTCCTCTTCTGCCAACTTGGCTGCGGGGCCGGGGTGAGGAGCACCGACAGGGAAGGGGGAGCAGGGGGTGCAGGTTGGGAGCGAGGGGCACCAGCAAGCTTCATGGTGGATACTCGCGCTGTGGCTGTAGAGCCGTGGCCCCCCCTGGCCTTTCAGGGCCCGCAGTCCAGCCCTGTCAGTCATAGAGCCCTGCCGGGTGCCAGCCGGGCCGGCTTGGCCCTTCTCACCTTGCTCCTTTTCTCTCTGCCCTCAGGAAGCAAGACTCAAGGCGTGGTGCAGGGCGTCACCTCAGGTACCCGCTGCCCCCCCAGCTCCTGGCCCTGTGCCCGGGGGCAGCCGCACTAACGAGATCAGAGGCCATGGAGGGCCTTGATGTCACCAAAGCCCCTTGCATAACGGAGCAAAGAATCCAGCTGCCCCCAGCCTGCAGGGAGGGGGGCACTGGGTTGGCCTGATGGGGTGGGGGGAGACTTGCTGCTACCCCATGGGGGCTGAGGGGCCCTGATGCCCGTGGGGGGGGGCAGCGATGGGTGCGGGGTGATGCTGTGTGCCTTGCAGTGGCCGAGAAGACCAAGGAGCAGGCCTCCCAGCTGGGCGGCGCTGTCTTCTCGGGGGCCGGCAACATCGCGGCCGCCACGGGGCTGGTCAAGAAGGAGGAGTTCCCCACTGACCTCAAGGTGAGCGCTGGATGCCCATGGCTCCCCCTGCTCCGCCTGGGGGCTGCCGCGTGTGCCGCCCCGGGCAGGCAGGGAGCGCTGCTGCTGGGTCCCTGCCCCAGGGCTGCTGCGCCTGCCCCCATGCAAGGCCACGGGTGTGCACGTGTGTGTGTGATGGGGCGGCAGCGGCCAGGTGTGCATGCACAGGGGACCCGACAGCTGCGGGCTCCACAGTGCGGGGGGGAGGGAGCTGGACCGTGCTGAGCCATTCGCTTCCAGCTTATCCCAAAATAGCAACAGCTCAGAAATGAGGCCACGGCTGCTGCCAGCCAGCCAGCGCTGCGTGTGCATGTGTGTGTGCATGCGTGTGTGCATGCGTGCACATGGGAGCGGGCTGCCTGTGACCCCCCATGACCTGCGCCAGCTGTGCCGTGCCAGGCTGAGCGCCTCCAGGGGGTCGAGGCCTGGAGCATCCTGCTGCTGCCTCGGGAATTGCCCTGCGCTCGAGACCCCGGGTAGAGACTGTGACCCCCCCACGGAGGGAGGTGAAGCCCCCCCCAGTCTGAGCAGGGGTCAGATCCCTTCCTGCCCCCAGTGCAGCATCGGTTTGAGCCTGAGCTCAGGGGCAAGACCCTCCTGCCAGGACCCTGCGGGCTTGGGCCCAGCAGGAGCATTGGCACAGCCCAGTCCCATCCCCAGCCTGGGCTGCAACCAGCACCCAGCACTGCTGAGGAAGGGGGAAACCCTGACACCAGGAGGGGAAAACACCCCTTCCCAGCCCCACACCAGCAGAGCCCAGCACCCTGGGACACATCGGACCCCAGCACTCCTGGCAGGGCAGAGGGGAGGGGGGGGCACCAGCACAGAGGAGCTGGACCCGCCTGGCGCATGTGCCCCGAGGCCCAGCCCCCAACCTGGCCCTGGGGCGCGGGACACGGAG